GGTTGCGATCTGTTGCCGGACACGAAAAAAGACAAAAAGGAAAAAAAAAAAAAAAGAAAAATAATATACAAATACACTTTTTAAAAAAACAAATTTATCTTGAATGATAACATTGTGGTAAAAGTTGCTTAACAACAACTGTTCAAATGGATGTCAGATTAATTACTGCTCATTCTTCCCTATAATACTACCCAAGTATTTCATAGCATTTTGGATTTAATTTGCTAAGTTCATAAAGCATTTATATTGAAAATGTTTGTATTCCGATTATAAAAGTAAAAAATGAGAATTATAATGATTACTAGTACAAAAGTATGTGTAACATACAAAGTGGGTTTGTTTCTCTGATATTAGTAGGATTATATTAGATTTTTTATAGTAAATTCTTCCTTCGGTAGATAGGATGATCAAGGTTTAGGATTGTATTTAAAATGAACATGAGAAAAGAGATAGGGTTGTGGTGATATTTGCATTGCTGATCATGATTTTTCTTGGGAAAATTTATACACATGAATATTTTAAAGATATAGTTTAGGTATACTTTAGATTCTTCATGAAAGAAGGTCCCATCTTAAAGATGTGCAAGAAAGAAAAGAAGGAACTTTTGAGCACATTTCTTTTCTTCGGTATAGTTGGATTTTCCAAAGTATTCTAGCTAACGTATGCTATTAAGGTGTGTAAAACCCTAGAGTGAATCTGTTACAACATTACAGCTATTCATGGATATTATTTATTATGGCAGCCTAGAGGAGCTACCCATAATTTTTATGGTGCTCTTTGTGGTGTGTCAAAATTTAAAGTTTTTATGAAACAGTGTCTTTCCTGAAATGGTGAAAAAAAAAATTATTTAATTGTAGGCTGCCTTATGGAAGGATAGTTTGAAAACCATTATTTATATTATAATAAGGACTTCGAAATATACCTCAAGAGAGATTTTCACTCAGGGAATAGTCAGATGGATCTTAGGTCATTCATGAGTTGATTTTATTACTGCCAACTGTTCAAATATTTTTCATTTTTTTATGTATTCCTTCATACTTACCTATTCTGACAGAAATGTGTGCTAAACAAGGAAGTTAAATGGGGAAGTATACAGAAGTAGAAGTGTAAAAGCCACCAGATATTTTGATTAAACTGAAAAGGGCCACAATTTGAAGAAATATATGGAAGATAAATCTTGCATCTACATATGTAGCTTAGCAGAAAATGATATTGCCTTCTTATTTAGTAACTATTGTGTACCTTCCATGTCAACTTGTACTGCTAGTTGACACCCAACTCTCAGTTTCTTTTATAGCCAGGCTAGTCCCTCCCTTAATCATCTCTGTAGTGCAGTGATTTTTTTTAGTGTAGTGTGAACCAGTCTTTACTCTCTATTTAACAGGGAGGGCTTTGGAAAGTGTTAGTTCTGTAATAATCAGTGAATAATATATAGCAGGATGCGGTTTAGTTTGTGTTTTCAAATCTTAGGGATTCTTAAAAATTGAAACTTTTAACTTGTCTTGAAATATGGTATTCTATTGCTTGTTACAGGATTGTTCTGAACTAATTGCTCTTTACAATGCAAAATCAAGCTTTCTAAAATCTTTTTTTTTTCCAGATAATGCTTATGATCCTGATGTGAATGCTAAACAGATATGGATTGACAAAACAGTAATAAATGATCATATATGCTTGACATTCACTGATAATGGGAATGGTATGACTTCAGATAAATTACATAAAATGCTAAGGTATGTAAAAATGTGCCACATTTCTTAAAGTCATTGCTTTTACCTAGTTGAAGGGTTGTGTATGTCATACTTATTGTTCTTTGTTTGTTTTTGTTTTTTTAAACATGAAATGCTATATCCACAGTGTGATCTATTTAGAGTTGTAGCACATTGATATCAGTTATTTGTACTTGAGTGTAAATAAGTTTTATTAGAAATACTGGTTAAAACTAGAAACACTTTTTTAGAGGGGGAAGGGAGAGTAACTTTAAAGGGATTGAGAGAATGAGGAAGTAGCATAAAGCAGCCATAAGGTCTTGGGCTCTAGAGTCACAGAACAGGATGTTGATATGAATCCAAATGTGCCTGAAATGGAAACTGAGGTACATAGTACAGGTGCAGGGCAGAGGATGTTGGATATGAATCCAAATGTGCCTGAAATGGAAACTGAGGTACATAGTACAGGTGCAGGGCAGAGGATGTTGGATATGAATCCAAATGTGCCTGAAATGGAAACTGAGGTACATAGTACAGGTGCAGGGCAGAGGGCGAATTTGGAAGCAGTAGCTTTTCTATTGTCCCTTAAGTATTCCTTATGCTGCCAAAAAGTCAGAGTTGACGCCACCATTAATCATACTACATACAGTAGGCTTGCTGAGAACAAGAGATGCATTTACACTTAGAGGAAAAGATTCATGGAGTGAAATCTCAGTGTCCCAGGAGCCCAAGTTATAACTCAGCCACTTAGCCAGGGTGTGCCAGGCAGTGAGCTCCTGTGTTAGTACCTGTAATCTTTATGCTTCTGTGATACAAATTTGGTTTCCTCATTTCAGAGATGAGGAAATATATCAAGGTAGTTTAAAACTAATTTGCTCAAGATTAGACAGCTGGGAACGATGTGAGGCCCGCATTTGAACCGAGGCTTTTTTACTTAGTATTACACTTACTGAATTTTAAAAAAAAATAGGTTTTTATTTTTAAAACCTTTCTTTTCTTTCTAGCTTTGGCTTCAGTGACAAAGTCACCATGAATGGTCATGTTCCAGTTGGATTGTATGGGAATGGCTTCAAGTCAGGTTCTATGCGTTTGGGTAAAGATGCAATTGTTTTTACCAAAAATGGAGAGAGCATGAGTGTGGGCTTCTTATCTCAGACCTACTTGGAAGTCATAAAAGCAGAACATGTTGTTGTCCCAATAGTGTCATTCAACAAGCATCATATCCTTTTGATTTTGAAATAGAAGCTGTGAAGAAATATTCTGAAACATTCTACCCTTTTGCCTTCCTCCAAGTTCTTGTTTTTTAATCATACCTATTCCAGTTCTTGTCTCTATCCACTGCCTTTACCCTACACTGGAGGCTAAGAGTTTTTGTCCCTTTCTCTTCTCTGTTGGAATTGTATAAATTTGAGGCTAAGGGTTTGTCCCTTTCTCTTCTCTGTTGAAATTGTGCAAATTCTCGACATAAAGTGGTTGCATTTTTTGTTAAACTGCTCATAACTCCCCTCTTTATTTCAGGCTTATTGTGGTGTAATAAGACTTTGGTGGTCTGGCTTGAGCATTTTGCTAATGACCATGAAAAGCAAGATAACTTTAAGAAAATGCCTTCTGTATAAACACATAGAAATACTGGAAAGCATTTAATTAGTTAGGAGTAATAATAAATTTGCTTACTTTTTTATCCTTGGTGTTCATTTAAAATTGAACTGCCATTTTAAAACTCAAAGTAATTTAGGAAATATTTTTTCCATTGTTTAATATTTATTAGGGTTCGTTTCCATATTATAATTGTGAAAATATGTTGGTGATTTAAGTCTTTAACTTAGGATATACGACAGATGATTAATTTAGCAGAATCAAAAGCAAGCCTTGCTGCAATTCTGGAACATTCTCTCTTTTCTGCGGAACAGAAATTACTGGCAGAACTTGATGCCATTATGAGTAAGAAGGGAACAAGGATCATCATTTGGAATCTTAGAAGGTAAATGTAAGCCTCAGCTAGTTGTTGACCATTAGGAAAGTGATACTTCTTTGTCCATTACTTTGATATAGCATGTGGTAAGAAAAGTAATATAGATGAAATTTTTGTGTTGCTGAAGTTTGTAGTCCTTTATCCTTGTGAGAATAAAATCCTTTGCAAATGAAAGTTTTAAAATTGAGGATTAATGTGTAATATTGAGAGATCTAAGACGTACTCAGCCACAGGCAGGAATAAAGCCTAAAGAACTTTAAAACTTGTGCCTTTCTAACCTTCTGAATTCCCTTTTTCTCTTCTTTTCTTTTTTTTCTTCTTTTTGCATTCACTTCCCTGCCCCTCTTCCTTCTGGAGGTCTTTGTTGTTTGTTTTTTCCCCCAAACTAAACGCTTCATTTGGAAATAACTAGATTCACGTGCAGCTATAAGAAATAATACACGGATCTCATGTACCCTTACAAAACTGTAGTACAGTAGTGCTACTGATATTGATGGGATATTGGCACGTGACACATTGCATGTGTCAAATACTGGACACTTTCATCATCATAGGAGTCCCTCATATTGCCCTTTTGTAGCCACATTCACTTCTCTCCTACCCCCACTCCCTCCAGTCCCTGGCAAGCTTTTAATCTGTTCTCTATTTCTGTAATTTTAACTCAAGAATGTTATATAAATGGAATCATACAACATGAAACCTCTGGTTATTTTTTTTGCCACTCAGCGTAATTTTCTGGAGATTCATCCAGGTTCTTGTGTGTATCAGTAGTGTTCCTTCTTTTTCTAGCTGAGTAGTATTGCATTGTATGGATGGACCACAGTGTGTTTAACCATTCACCTGTTAAAAGACATCTGGGTTGTTTACAGTTTTTAGCTGTAACAAATAAAGCTGTAAACATTCACATATAGATGTTTGTGGAAATAGTTTTTTATATGGAACACTTTACAAATTTGCATGTCCTCCTTGTATAGGGCCCATGCTAATCTTTTCTGTATTGCTCCAGTTTTTTTAGTATAAATGTTGCTGAAGCGAGCACTGAAAATATAGTCTTCATTTTTCTAAAATACGTGCCCAGCAATGTGTAATTACTGGGTCATATGGTAGTTACATTTTTGGTTTTTAAAGAAACTACCAGACTGTTTTCCAGAGTGGCTGTACTGTTTCCCACCAGCAACATATGAGTAATGCAGTATCTTTGCAGCTTTCCAAATTCCTTTTTCCTTTCTTTTTTTCTTTTGCACCTTCCCTCCATGACATTTACCATGTGTAGGTTTATTTGTTTTTAATGATTTATAGTATTTGCTTGCCTATCTTTCTGTGAAGTTAAATTTTGATTTTTTCTAAAAATTATTTTTACAGCTACAAAAATGCAACAGAGTTTGATTTTGAAAAGGATAAATATGACATTAGAATTCCTGAGGATTTAGATGAGACAACAGGAAAAAAAGGGTACAAGAAGCAAGAAAGGATGGACCAAATTGCCCCGGAGAGTGACTATTCCCTGAGGGTATGTATTCAGCTCTGTGGGAATGAGAAAATCATCAAATAATGGAACTATCAGAAGAGCTTATGTTATCCACTTGTGTTATGAAGGCTGCCTGTGATCTCTGAATGAAAGTATCTCAGACATGAACCAGCTTATTAAACTTTTCATTAGCACGCTGGTTGTTTTATTTGCTTAGAAAACTTTTTTTTTAATTGGGAGGTCATCAGGTCTAACAGTGTTCTTTTACCATATGCTGAGATTATTTGAACTAGTAATACTGGGTTCAGTAGAAATATTGATTAATTCAGTCACAAAACACCACATTCAAAGTGCCTTTATAAAAAAAACTTAAATATTCTAGAATACACACCTAATGTACCTTAATTGTCCTCCTAAAGCAATACATTATAAACAATAGGTAATCTACATTAATATGATTTTGTGATAAATGTCTCTGAGATTTAATCTTAGAAATGGGTGTGTTTTTAAGATTGAAGAAATGAATATCTCAATATAACAATGTTGATATGATAAGAATATTACATTTTTTTATTTTTGTCAGCTGGCTGGTACAGGGATCGAACCCTGGACCTTAGTGTAATCAGTATCATGCTCTAACTAACTGAGCTAACCGGCTGGAATATTGAGTTTCTTAGTCTCTTTGATAAGACATGTGACACTAACTTGCTTTCTTTTTTTGTGCTTAAATTATTTCTTAACTCCAGGCTGAGGATATATGAGGGTACTTCACAAAGTTCATGGGAAGATTTGTATTATTTTTTAATGTATTTTTCCATGAACTTTTGAAGTGCCCTTGTATTGACATTTACAGGTTTGCCATGTAACTTTTTCTGAAGTCCTAGCAATTACAATGTCAGATGTTTACTATTTCTTGATGTAGCCTAATGTGTTATTGGGGTATGTCCTAGCTATTAAGAAAATCTTGCTCAAGTGTGAAGCAAGTCCAGAGGTAGCCAGAGCAGATGGTATGGTTTTTAGTACACTACTAAGTACAATGTCTTAAAATACCACTATGGAATATTATAAATGACAAAACACCATGTCTTTTGAAGGCAGGAGTCAGGAAAAAAGAGAAATGTTCAAGTTTTAGTTTTGGGTTGAACCTTTTCTCTATCCTTTTTGAATTGTTGAATGCTATAACTTCAGAGATTTCTGATACCTTGGGGGCAGGCACAGACCAGCATATTTTAACACGTTTTAGGGTGTGAAGTTTGGTCAAGTTTCTAAAGTTATCTCAACTTTCATGCATTAAGAAATGAAAACACATGGCCACTGATTGTTACACCTCAATTTTTTTTTCTTGTTTTTTTTTT